GGCCACCAGCCACGGTTACCAAAGGGAACCTCCACCAGCCTCTGAATAAATCCCGGTGACAGGAGGCCGCCTCAGGGGAAAGCCGTGGCTTCAGTGGAGGCACCGACTGGCCCCGGTGCAGGAGAGGAGAGGATGCCGGGTGAGATGGAGCCTCCCCAGTTGGACTTCACAAAGGGCCGCCGGTGGTGGGCAAGACGTCGCCCCTCCACAAAGGGCCTTTGTTTATCGGTGCAAGGGCACCTGGTGCTTTGAAGAGGAAGGGACATTGTCGGCTGGACCCCTCCCCGGAAAGAGCAGGATGCAGACACCGTGCCCCCCCTTCCCGTCTTTCTTGCGGGGGGGGGGATAAAGCAGCAGACATGGCCACCCTTGTCCTTCCAGGCGGGCAGAGACATCCCAGCCGTTGGCCAAGCCAGGAGGCTGAGGCCCGGGAGGGGAGGGGAGGTCCCGCAGGGTTGCCATCCCTGGGCTGGGGCCTTCCTGGAGATTGGGGGTGGGGTGGGGCTGGGGAAGACCTGCGTCTGGGCCCAGTGGGACCCCAGCGGAGCGGGAGGTCTCGGCTTCCCTGAGTCAGATCTCCCCTTGTCGGACAGGAGCTCTGCCGCCTCTCAAGAGCTGAAACCCCCAAACGCCTGTTGTTCTCTGGGGTGCGGCTGGACTAGAATCCGGCTCTTCCCCCGCAGGCCGACATGGCCGCCCGCCCGTGGCCCCCTCTGCAGCGCCAGCCCCTCCTCACTTGTGCAACGCGGGGTCTCCCACGGCGAGCGTCTTGGGCCGGCGGGGCTCCCCGGCCCCCAGAGGGCAGGCCATGCTGTGGCAGAGGAGGGCGGCCGCGCGGGCCTCCAGGGGCTCTGGCCCAGAGGCCCCCGACGGGCCCCCCAGCGAGAAGTCGAAGCCCAGGATGGTGCCCTGCTCATCCGTCAGGAGCAGGAGGTGGTCAATGCGCCAGAGAGGTTGCGCTGCAGGGGGAGAGAGGGAGGGGAGGGCTACTGCGGGACCCACGGCTGGCTCACTGTGTGTGTGTGTGCGCGTGGGGGGTAAATGCGTGGAGGGTGGCGCATACGGAGTGCCACGGGGGTGCCTGCCTCCAGTACTGCTTTGTCCACTTGTGAGGACAGCGGGCAGAGTGGGGCCTTCGCTTCCAGCCTCCTCCGCCTCCTCCGGGGCACTGACCCGTCTCTGACGCGGCCGCCTCCTCCTCGTCCTCCTCGCCCGCGCTCACAAAGGTGATGAAGCGGTCCAGATCCCTCAGCGCCAGCGCCTCCTCGCTGTAGAAGCGGCCTCCCACCTGCTGCCCGGGGTCCGAGATGGTGAAGGCCAAGGCCCGATTGGCCAGCACGTGCAAGACCCACAGGGCCGGGTCCGGAGGCAGGCGCCGGATGGAGGCCTCCAGTCGCTTGCGCCTCTCGTGGCCCCCCCGGCAGGCGGAGTCCAGCAGGAAGCACCGGTACCAGCCAAAGAGCAGCTCGGCAAAGTCCAGGATCTCTGCCCGGTAGCCAGTGACAAACTCCATATCTGGGGAGGGACCGGGGCCCGGCCGTGAGAGACAGCCCGGCCCCCTGACTCCACCGGGGCTCTGCCCCGCAGCCGCTCTGTCCAGGGCCGGCATGACGCCCTGGAGCGTCCGGAGGGAAAAGACCTTGGAGCATGCACAGAGGGCAGCTCCCTCAGCACAGGGCAGCCCTGAACAACCCCCCCACACCTTTTTTTTGGGTGTGTGTGACTGGAGCCTCTCCAGCAGGGTGCCCTGCCTGTCACCGGCCCCGACTGCCCTCTGGAGCCCCCCCAACCCCCCAGGGCTGCCCCCTCTGTGTCTGGTCACTCAGCCACCAGCCCACCCCCCATGGCAGCCAAACGGAGCGATCGCGGCGGGCCCCGAAAATGACCCCACACAGGCTGTGGAGGAGGAGAGCGGGGGGGGGGAGAGCGGGTCCCGATCCAGTGCCGTGAAGTGGGAGTCCTCAGCAAGGGACTAACAGCAGCCCGGGGTGGGGGGAGGTTTGGGGACGCGAGGCATAAGAGGAAGCCTTTCTTGAGAATGGGGGCCCTGCTCCAACCAAAGGGGCGCCGCCTCCCCTCCAGGCACAGATGTGGGGAGTTTCCAGGCCCCTCCCTGGCCACTGACCAAGTAGCCCCCCCCCCGGATGATGATTACCACCCACCTCCCAGGCCTGGCTCAGGGCGTTTCCAAGGAGGGGGTGGGTGGCAGGCAGGCAGGCAGGGCCCTCTCAGGTGGCTGACGGTTGGGGGCCCAACTCCCACACCACTCCCCCAGCCGCCCAGAAGAACCCCGCCCTCGCCGAGGCCTTCCTCGCCCTCCCCCCTCTCCCGCCCCAGGCTGGCTCCGCTGCCCCAACTACCTGCAGTGAGTCCCGCTTTTGAAGGTAAATAGCCGGGGTCTCCCTGGTTGCCCTGTGACGTCACCGGGTTCCGGAACTCCGGGCAGGCGGGCAGCGGCCTCCCCTCCTTCCTGCCCACCCCCGCATGGCCCTCCCTGGCCCGGTGGGAGGGGAGGGGGTGACCGGCAAGGCAGAGGTCTGGCTGTTCCTCTGGGGGCAGGGGGCGAAGAAGGGGGTGCCCCAGTGCCCTTGAACACTTCGCACTTCTTTGGAAGAAGCTCACAAACACCATCACCACCACCACTGTGGTTTCAGTTTCAAGCCCAGCCGCCTGGCCCATGTCAAGGGCTGGGGGCTCCCCGGGGTCTCCTGCGAGGGAAAGCTCTTCCCCACCACCTGTGTCCTTCTTGGGGGAGAGGCCGGGCGCAGCACCCGAGACCCTTTGCTTGCCAAGCCAAAGGCGTGGGCCCCCCTTCCTGCCAGGGACTCCGCAGCCGCTCGGCCGCCAACGCCCCTGTAAGTCAGTAAGAAAGGGAATGCCTCTGAGCACACACAGAGGGCCTGCTGCGGTCTTGAGTAATCCCAGCAGCTCCCGACTGGGAGGGAGGGAGAGAGGGAGTGGGGGCTCTCCTCCAGCTTGCCCTCCTCTTCTGCCTCCCCCAGTTCTTGCCCTGCCTCCTTTCCCGGAGGGCTCGGCCCCACCCCCCTGCCCATCAAGAGAGCCGAACTGACCCAAAAATATATTTATTGATCTCTGACCCCAAGTCCTCCCCCCAGGAGAGCCCCCTTCCGCAGCAGCATCCCCAGAGGCGTTGCCCCCTTGCCCCACGGCGGTGGTGGCGGGGGCGGGCAGTCCGTCAGAGCAGCAGCCACCCCAGGGCCAGCCCGGCCCCCGCCAGAGACCAGGGGGGCCCCAGCGCGCCCTGCAGGCTTGTGCCGCCCCCCTCGGGCCATGGGTCGAGGAGGTGGGGGGCTCCGTGCACGGCGGCGTGGCTCAGGGGGCTCTGAGGCACCTGGAAAGGCCGTCCGGCCTGGGCCGACGTGGCTTCCAGCCAGGACTGGAAGCTGGACACCCGTGCGTAGACCCCGGGGCTCCGGGCCTCCCCGCAGCCGCGGCCCCAGCTCACCACCCCGACTTCGTACCAGGCCGGAGGGGCGCCGGCGCCGGGGGGGCGGCACATGAGTGGTCCACCGCTGTCTCCCTGGAGCCGGAAGAGAGAAAGGAGAGGGGTGGTGAAGGGAGAGTCCAAAAGGAATACCTCCAGGAAGGAAGGAAGGAACCCTCTCCCCCAGGGCTGCGTGCCCTCCTCCACAGGCAGCCTGGCGGTTACACTGGTTCTGTAGCTCTTGCACGGTGACGGGACACTGGCCTCGCGGGGGGGGGGGGGCTGGGGGCCCCTGGGATTGCAGCTCCAGACCAGCTCCCCCAGAGAAAAGGGGTGCTTTGGAGGGTGGGCTCTGTCTGTGGCACGGTACCCCCACTGCCGAGGCCCCCGTCTCCTCCCCCTCCACCGGAGGAGGGCTGCTTTCAAAAACCGGGGCATGCCAGATGGCTCTCAGTATGGTCCGGCTCTGCCGCAAGGATGTCCTCCTCGCCCCCAACGTCCGTGCTGAAAAGGCCTCGGAGGGAGTTGTGCACGTGCTCAGGCGGGTGCATCACAAGCCACCGGTCTCCTTGGGCAGACGGCAAGCAGAGGTGGGGACCTCCTGCACGAGGGCCCGGCCCTTTCTGTCCTGGAGCGGCCGTGATCCTCCCGGGCCTGTGGTGGGACTCCGCCCCGGCAGCCTCTCCCTCCCACGCTGCGCATCCCTCTCCCCCCCGCCCCCGCAGGCCTCCATTTCCCAGTCGCCCTCCAAGCCTGGGCCTGAGGGAGGCTGCTGGGAGGGGAGGGGAGGGGAGAGAGAGAGGGGGGCTCTGTCCGGGGGGGGGGGGTTCCTCTCCTCTGGAAGCCAGGCAGCCGAGGGGCCGCTATGGGGAGGAGAGGGATCCCTGACCCGAAAGCCAGACTCGGGCCCAGGAGCCCCTCAGAGGCCAGAAGACGTTGTGGGGTAGGAGCTCTGGAGAGCCAAAGAGCGCCCTTCCTCAGACCCACACAGGGATATGTGTGTGTGTGTGTGTGTGTAGTGGGGGCGGGATGGTGGACTGTGCGGTTCAAGGACATTCCGGGGGTGGGGTGGGCCGTGCTGCTCTGAAGCAACAGAACAAAGTCTGAGTCCAGTCGGGCACCTTGAAGACCCAGCAAGCCTTATTCCGGGTGTCACCTCTCCGGTGGGCCCCCGCACTTCTTCAGAAGGGGGCCGGGTGGGGGAAGGAGAGTGGGGGGCAGTGTTCCCTCTGAGCTGAGTGAGTGTGAGCCAGCTCACAGTTCTTTAGCCTCCGGCTCACACATTTTTGTCTCAGCTCAGGAAGGGGATGGCTCCAGAGCAGACTAATTTATGCCTTAGCCAAATCGCTCGCTCACAGCTTTCGTGCCAGTCACTCAAAAACCAGGATATTTGCTCACAGGACTCCACAGCTGAGAGGGAGTGTTGGCTGGGGGTCCAGTTCACAGCAATCCCTACACTCCCCCCCCTCCTCTGCTGTTATCACGGTTTTCTTATTTGGTCACTTGCTACAGTTTCTGGTTAACACCCCCCCCCCACCGAGCTGGACATGCCCAGACTGAAAA